TCAAAGGGCGTTTTGACAATCGCTCGAGGACATGTTTGTGGCACATTGTACAAAACTCATTTGAGGATTTGTACAGATAGCCTCAATATTGCTGAGGAGATTACTCAGAATCTGTGGCATCTGAGGCTCGGCCACATCGGTGAGAAAGGGTTGACTACCTTGATGAAGAAGAACCTTATCAACATCGACAAGAACGCTGCACTGAGTCCTTGCAGTCATTGTCTGTTTGGTAAGCAACACAGAGTATCATTTAATTCTACTTCAACTAAAAGATCGGAGTTGTTAAGTTTGGTACACTCCGATGTCTGTGGTCCTTTCGAGGTGGAATCAATCGGTGGAAGCAGATTTTTTCTGACTTTTATCGATGATGCTTCTCGGAAAGTGTGGGTGTATTTCCTTATTACGAAGGATCAGGTATTTGAGTACTTCAAGACATTTCACGTCTTGGTGGAACGTGAAACGGGAAAGAAGTTGAAATGTCTTCGATCAGATAATGGAGGCGAGTATACTTCTAAGGCGTTCGATGCATATTGTAGAGAATATGGCATTCGACATGAGAAGACAGTACCACGCACCCCTCAGCACAACGGCGTTGCTGAAAGAATGAACCGGACTATCATGGAGCGTGTCCGGAGCATGCTGAATATGGCTAAACTTCCGAAGTTATTCTGGGGAGAAGCAGTCAACACCGCATGCTATCTTATCAACTGATCACCTTCAGTACCACTGAACTTTGAAGTTCCAGAGAGGCTATGGACAGGTAAGGATCCTACATACTCACATTTTAGAGTATTTGGTTGTTCATCGTATGCACATGTATCCAAAGAGCTCAGGCAGAAGCTCGATGCAAGAACTATCCCATGCATTTTCGTTGGCTATGGAAATGAAGAGTTTGGATACAGGCTATGGGATCCTAAGGAGAAAAAGGTGTTCAGAAGTAGGGATGTTGTGTTCCACGAAGATTTGACAATAGAAGACATTGAAAAACCCACAATGTCTCGGAAGTCAAATGAGGGTGTTCAAGTTTCAAATGAAGTACCAGAAGAGGACAAAGTGCATGAAGATAACTCTGAAGCAGAAGAAGACGAGGAGACAGAAGATAGTGCAGAGCAAGGGGAGACACAATCCACCCCGCCAGACACAGATGATGGTAGCTCTTCTCAGATGGTTCCTACTGTTCGTAGATCTGAACGAGGGCATATACCATCGACAAGGTACACATCATCCGAATATCTTTTGTTAACTGAAGATGGAGAACCGGAGAGTTTTCAAGAAGCTGTATCTCATAAGGATAAAGAAAAATGGCTAATAGCAATGCAGGATGAGTTAGAATCTCTGCAGAAAAATCAAACTTATGAGATCGTAGAACTTCCTAAAGGGAAGAAGGCACTGAGGAACAAATGGGTGTTCAAGCTGAAGAAGGATGCAAACGGACAAGTGGTGAAACACAAAGCTCGGTTGGTTGTCAAAGGGTTCCAGCAGAAGAAAGGAATTGACTTTGATGAGATCTTTGCACCAGTTGTCAAGATGACCTCAATCCGAGTTATACTTGGCTTAGCAGCAAGTATGAACTTGGAGCTTGAACAGATGGATGTGAAGACAACATTTCTTCACGGAGATTTGAAAGAAGAAATCTACATGCAGCAGCCGGAAGGTTTTGAGAACTCAAATGATAACTTTGTGTGTAAGTTATCTAAAAGTTTGTATGGTTTGAAGCAGGCACCAAGGCAGTGGAATAAGAAGTTTGACTCGTGCATGAAGAGTCAAGGCTACAAGAAGACTACTGCAGATGAGTGTGTATACATCAATAAACTTCCAGACGGTACCTTCATTGCTCTTCTACTATATGTAGACGACATGTTGATCGTTGGGAAAGATGCAGTGAAGATAAACCAACTGAAGAAAGAACTCTCTAAGTCTTTTGATATGAAAGACTTAGGACCGGCTCAACAGATTCTTGGGATGCAGATCACTCGAGACAGGAAGAATCGCAAGTTATGGCTATCTCAGGAGAAGTACATTGAACGGGTACTTGAGAGATTCAACATGAATGATGCCAAGCCAGTAAGTGTTCCACTTGCGAATCACTTCAAGTTGAGCAAAAGAACATGCCCTACATCCAAGGAAGAGATCGGGGAGATGTCAGCAGTTCCATATTCTTCAGTAGTTGGGAGTTTGATGTACGCCATGGTATGCACAAGGCCAGACATCGCACAAGCAGTGGGTACAGTGAGTCGTTTTCTCTCTAACCCCGGGAAGGAGCATTGGGAGGCAGTCAAATGGATTCTCAGGTACTTGAAAGGTACCACGAAGTTATGTCTTTGTTACGGAGGAGTTGATCCAGTCTTGGAAGGCTACACAGATGCTGATATGGCCGGAGATACTGATAGTAGAAAGTCTACTTCAGGATATATTTACACTTTTGCAGGGGGAGCCGTTTCTTGGCAATCAAGATTGCAGAAGTGTGTCGCTTTATCTACAACAGAAGCAGAATACATTGCTGTCGCTGAAGCAGGTAAGGAAATGTTGTGGCTAAAGCGCTTTCTCCAAGAACTTGGGATCCAGCAGAAAGAGTATAGGGTACATTGTGACAGTCAGAGTGCTCTAGACTTGAGCAAGAACTCCATGTACCATTCTCGTACAAAGCATATTGACATTCGGTATCACTGGATACGGGAGACGATTGATCAACAACTGTTGAGACTAGTGAAGATCAATACAAAGGAGAATCCATCAGACATGCTGACGAAGGTGGTGACACGGGATAAGCTAGAGCTGTGCAGAGACATAGTCGGGATGCTTGTTTTGAATATGCCTAGAAGGGGAGAATTGAAGAATTCAATTTCCAGGTCATATCCAAGTACAAGCAAATTGAAGAATCCAATTCATAGCTTCCATGAAGCTTCCTCCATGTGCAAGAATGACAAGGGGAGCTTCCTCAACCACCATTGAAGCTTCCTCATGTTCCATTGAAGCTTCCTCCTAGCTTCAACACATCTTCCTCTCACCTTCATACTACCTAGTTTTGGTGCTATAAATAGAGAGCTTGGAGAGTCTTTCTATCATCAAGGTTAAGGCTTGAGACCTAATCCTGCACCTTGGGCTTAAGACCCTTCGGGGGCCCTCGCATTTTTCAGGTTAAGGCTTGAGACCTAATCCTGCACCTTTGCCTAGGGTGATCATCAATAAGGAAGACGTGGTTCGTGCTTCCGTTCTCATTTGAAACAATGTAATTGCTCATGGATATTTGAACAAGGTTTTCTGTCAAACTATTAAAGGGCCTGCGTGCCCATGTTTGCCACGTGTGGCTCATCATCAAACATATTTTATTTCCGCATTTGTTTGAGTAATATATTGATGTTGATTGTATGGGTTTACTAATCGGTTTGGCAATAGAATCTATCGGACGCCTTGTATATGATTTAATAAGAATGAACGACGTTGTTCTTATTGGGTTGTACGGCGGTTGTCTACGTGGCACGGACGCGGTCCGGGGCATGACAGTTTTTGCACCTTAACCCATATGAAAACACAAAAATGTCCTTCCATTCAGGCACGGAGGTATGCATAGTGTGTGTGTGTGTGGGGGGGGGGGGGGGGGGCTTTGCCCCTCTCTACTTTTCATTCTTTTCTATAATTTTAGTAATAGTATTCACATAATCCCCTTTAATGTATATATTACATTAAAGTGATGAAATATATACCACGTATTACACTATTACATATGAATAATATATATGGAGTATAAGTTTAAATTTATTACTTTATTTCAATTCCTTATAATTAAGTAGATAAAATTATCCATCTTATAAAAGAAAGATTTTGAAAAATTGAACATGTCATTATAATGTTTTGAGGTTTTTAATCGTCCTACAAAATCTTACAAAATATAATCAACTACACAACAAATTTTAATACAATGCATTTCTGTATTTATACGGTACATTTGATAGTTTGTTTTATGTAGTAGATTTTGGCCCCCCTCCAATAAAATCCTGGCTCCGTCCCTGTTTTCATTAACAATTTTGTTGACCTTCAAAATATTCCTTATTGAGAGCATTTTTGTCTTTTCATATAGGGTTGTGGTACAAAAACAAAGTTTTTTAAAAGTGAGGTGCGAAGTCCAATTTAAACAATAAAATGGGGTGCTAACTCAAATTACCCCTTTCTAAAATGTGTGTGTTACGGAGTAGTATTTATTTCAAAAAACTTGGAAATATATTTATGTATAGTAATCATAACATCAGTTCACATTAATATATATTGTGCACAACCTAAAAATGCATTAATCCATTAAATTTTTAAGAAAAATGAAATGTTATAAATTAAATTCTAAAAACACATATTAAGTCATAACATGCATTTATAAAATAAGAAATATATGAAAAATTGTTTTAAAATGATATTTAACTAATATTTAACTTATGATCATATCGATTCGATATTCATATATGATTAATTAATTATTCATATAGTTAAACAAATAGGAATACAAATCGAAATTAATATTCATCTCATATTCGAATTCGAAAAATTGAACACAAATACTTCGTACAAAATAAGGCTATTATTTCACTTGATTAGGGTAGTGTTTGCAACTGCTTCTACTTAAAAAAAGCAATTTTGAAGATGTAAGGAAAAAGTGATTAATAGTAAAAGTTGTTAGTGTTTGAGAAAAAAGTGATTTTGATAAGTAAAATTTGGTAATGTTTGGTAAAATAAGTGCTTTTTGTGTAATAGAAAAGAGAAAAACACTGTTCACACGCTAGCCGATAAAAAACAAAATTGGTAGTGTTTGATATAAAAAAACTTTTGCAAACACTCTCTAGATTCGTTTAGGATGTTTTTACTTGGACTGTAATTTGTTGGTCTGGTCTAGTCTAGTCTGATCTGGTCTGAACTGGTTTGGTAAGGTCTCATAAAGTCTCGTTTCTTTGTCTTTTTATAATTATCCAAATTACAAGTCTCCTAGTAAAAACATCCTTACTACCCTGGTGAAGCACTACAGCCTCCTGGTTTTCCCTCAAAATGGCGTTTCCCAGTTATATTATCGGCGAGAGGAGGGGTGAGGCCTGAGGGAATGAAGATTAGACACCACTCTGAGGGAAACTGGTCGGGAAGATAGAGAGAGGAACACAACAAGAGGCTCGATCGCTAAGCTCTACTTTCGCTCGATTGCGGAGACTGTTTCCTCTCGCTCGATCATTCCGTCGTTGTTATCTACTAGCAGAATTTTCTTAATATTTTCGATCAATTGCTCGTTCTTTTTCCCCAGGTAACTTTAATCTTCAAGATCTATTACATTTTCAGCAATCTAAAGAATTATTGTATAAATTTATTGACTCGCTACTTGCTTCGTTGATTTTCTTGTCTGTTTGCTTCGCTGAATCACTGAGAATTACGGAGTATTAAACTTTATATTGGATGATTTCAGAAACTGTTGAATTGCTAAACTTACTCCAATTAAAGTATAATGAGTATTAGAGTACATTAAAAAGTGAAAATCAACCGATTAATGCACTTGAGATGTTATCAGTGATGCTAAGATGATTTTTATAGTTAAAGTATAATCAATTTAGTATTATTATAGCTGATTTGAAATTTTCGTTCTGAAGTATTATAAAGTATTGAGACTGCTGAGACTAACATTCTGGTAAGGCGGCACATATTATATGAACCAGTAACCCCTTCCCTTTTCTTCTTATGCCCAAAGCTGACGTTTGCTTAACAAAAGGAATAATATGAAATTGTTAATCGAACTTCCGGTCCATCATTTGCAATGGAGCCTAAGACTCACTATTTTTTGGCTTGAAAATATGATGGAATAAAGAAAATGGTTTACTAAACTCTCTGCGCTTATTTATTATGAAGCAACAATCGGTCCAAACAATTTTCCACGTGATTTTCATCATGGGTCATCCGGAAATAGTCTGCTTTAGTACAAGGGTAGGACTGCGTACATCCGCCCCCTTACCCCACCGCAGGTGCCTTTGCAGCACTGGGGTAATGTTGTTGTTGTTATTAATAAAAAATCCCCTTCCAATATATCTTAGGAATTGCGATGGTTAACCTACTTTTCAGATGTGAAGTACATCTTGAGAAGCAAGTTAACATCTGCAAGAAATAGTCACACATGGGAATATATGTTCAAAATGGTTATTAAGGATATATAGTCCACTACAGTAAGCTATTTACACCTTTATCTAACTTTTAATTATAATGACTAAGCTTCTGTGACATGAGCGGTTATATATTGCCTGCAGCCATGCAGTCAGTAATTTAGTTGACTTTAATTTATAAATTACTTAATTGGTGTTAATGCTAATTCATACCAAGTTTTTGTTTTGAAATCTCCCAGATTCTCGACGAGCTCTAAATGTTACTGTGAGTGCTCTTTGGGGGTATTCCGGTGGCGAAAAGATGTTTCTTTCTGCATCAAACATGAAGCCTTACCTATATCCTTGTCCATCTCTTTGTCTTAAAGAGAAACATCAGTGTAATTTCAACTCTTTCTCTGCTATCAAACAAATCCAAGGCCTTAAACATGTTGGATGTTTCGCTACCTCAAGTGAACCTGATAATATGGACACGAATGCTCAACAAAAAGTCCCTCCTAGGATTAGGAAAATGAAGAAATCCAAAGCCTTAGAAGGTTTAGGTATAGAATCTAGTAAAAAAAAACCCACTACAATTCCTAAGAAGCCCAGACGTGGTCGTAGGAGTGAATCAGCTGCAGTTGTGGATTTCGTGCGGGATTCTCTTGAACGTACCTTTGCAACTATAAGGGAGAAAAATCCAGATATCATGAAAGGCAAAGGAAACATCTTGAAAGACCGCATGGCTGAAATTCATGACGTCGATTGTAGTAGTGGTGACAGTGACGAGGAAGGTGCTGATGGCGAAACGAAAGAAAAGGAGATGGTGGTTGAGGAAGAGGACCCAGATTGGCCTCTGGATGCAGATGTGGGTTGGGGAGTTCGAGCATCAGAATATTTTGAGAGACATCCGATAAGAAACATTGTTGGGGAAGATGGCGCTGAGATTAATTGGGAAGGAGAACTTGATGATTGCTTGGTGAAAGAAATCAATTGTCTTGAGTGGGAAAGTTTTGCTTTTCATCCTAGCCCTCTGATTGTTCTTGTTTTTGAGAGATACAAAAGGCAGTATAATCAAACTCCTACCAAATTTTGTTGACAGTGATTTTTTATTTTGCCAGAAAAGTTTTTCTTATTCATTCTTTAACAACAGTGCGAGTAAGAACTGGATAGCTCTCAAGGAACTAGAGAAAGCTGCTAAGGTGTACTGGACGGCCAAGGATCGATTGCCTCCTCGGGTTTGTAACCAAATGCTTTACTTTTCAGAAAGTCCAGCATATTCAGTCATTCGGCCAAACTAACTCTTACCAAACTGCCCTAGTGGTTAACCATCATTTTGTTTTTTTATTACCGAGCAGACAGTCAAGATAGACATCAATATTGAAAGGGATTTGGCCTATGCTCTAGATGTTAAAGAATGCCCCCAAATATTGTTTTTGCGAGGAAACAAGATTGTACACCGGGAAAAAGGTAGTACATCAAGATCTACTTAATAGTAAGGTTACACTAGTCTTCAAATTTAAAATCTTTTGTCCCACTTTCCCCCATCCTATTTGTATTTAAATATTGGTCGATGTCTAATTTTTTTGGTTGATGTCTATTGGCTAACTAATTGCAGTAAAAGTCAACATTGATTATGGTTTTTCAATCAGTCGGATGAAGGCATAACAACATCACAAGAAAAATGTCATAGAAGATCTCAGTTCCTAGTCTTATTTTTTAAATCTAAATTTCTTAGCACAAATATTAAATGACATACAGAGATGCGAACAGGAGATGAGCTGGTTCAGATGATTGCACATATTTACTACAATGCCAAAAGGCCTGCATGTTTTAACAACTAGGTACGCCTCCACAATCAGTCCAAGATGGTAACTTATTGGTGCCGTATTACTTTTAAGGTTTTGTCTTCGGTACCAATTTCGTCTTAAAATTAAATTATAACAACTTGTCATGTTTTGTTATGCATGCAGAAATAAAATATGGTGATGATCTATTGTTTTATATAGTAAAGCTAGTTATAAATTGCTGATATGTCTTACTCTTATTGGTTAACACAATTTAATTAAAACATATAATTATAACATTAATTAATTTAGAAGTCGGAAGAGAGAAATAATAGAAAAAAAAGGTGGAGGGATAAAAATCGTGAAAAGTGTAAACATTCACAAATGGTGAATTATAAAAACGTAAACATGTAAACAAAACTTAATGATTATAACATTAATTTAGAAATCGTAGGAGAGAAACTTGCAAAAAAAGCGTAGAGAGAAAAAAAATAGGAGGAATAGATATGGTACCCTTTTTTTTAAATGAGTATTGGAGTTGTCACATAATTATAATAGTAATATTACATGTTATAATGGTATGGATAAGAGACAATTTCCTAAATAGGAGTAAATAGGTTTCAAAATTCCAAAATAGGAGTATCATGTTTTTATTCCCTAAATAGGAGTAAATTTCTGCCAAGTTGGAAATATTAGACTTTAAAACATGGCATTTTCTTCCAAACTTGGCATATTACTCCTATTTAGGGAATAAAAAACATGATACTCTTATTTTGGAATTTCAAAACGTTTTTGCTCCTATTTAGGGCAATTTCTATATGGATAACGATTACTATAATGGTAAATGTATAATTGTCAAATTTATAGTAAAATTCGAGTTGTAAATGTGCGTTGTGGGAAATGTACATTTATATAATAGCCATGACACATGTAAGGGATCTATTTTCAATTAAATATTTAAATATATTGTTTTATTTAGTAAAACAGAGTTACAAATTGCTCACATGTTACTCTATTATTGGTTAACACAAAAATTCTATTATCATTATTATGAAAACATTTAATTAGTTCCAAACAAAAAGACGATGGAACATTTATAATGGAAAAGAGAGAAAACAAAGTGGAAATTAAAACGTTTAAATAACTAACTTGACATTAGGTAGACTCCACACATTAAAATATTTATTTAGTTCGTAATGAAGATGAAATGACTTATGAGTTATGACTACTGAAAAGTTTGGAGAAAAAGTAGGAGAAAAATCGTAAAAAGAGACACTATTTTCTTACTCTTATATTTTTTTTTTTTGAGAGGTCTTACTCTTATATTTTATACATATGAGATCTCACAAAAAAGGCAAATCACATCAGACCAAAACATTCGAATTAGATCAAATTAAATAAAAAAAAGTTCATATTAGACCAGATTGAAAAGATTCAAATTACATCAGAAACATTTAGATCAAACCAGAAACAATCAGATCAAATAAAACAGTCCAAAAGAAAACACCCTAACAACCAAATAAAATTATATTCTACAATTTTTGTGTACTCCAATTTTTACAAAAAATCTATCATAATTTATAATTTTTTATGATCTTTCATATAACATCAATATTGCATATATACAAATATAAAAAAAGTATATAGTCAAAATACAGTTATAAATCAATGATATACCAATTCTATAGTAAAAATTGAGTTATAAATCAATGATATATCTTCTTCAAATTTTTAGCTGTAAAATATTTAATACTTAAAAACTAAATTCTAAGTCTGCCACTGGAAAGATTCATACGGGATATACCAGATTAGAGCAAATCATTAAAAAAATTAAATACAATCAGAGCGGAGTTTAAAATTTTCAGATCATTAATATGCATATCAGATTAATAGAACAACTTTTAACACCAACCATATTAATGGAATAGAATTCTCATAAAATATGGTATCACTTCAATTTCTAAAAAAAATGAACATCGATTTTTGTAAATAGTGAGACTCTAATACATCCAAGCCTAGCTTAGTCCCAAAAGATTTTGGGGTCGGCTAACATGAATTGCTATATATTTGAGTCTAATCATATACTCCCTTCGTCTCGCTAACAATGGGACAAGAAGGAGTGACACACAAACTAATAAAAAGTGAGTTATGTGTTTGATATTGAATAGATAAAATAAGAATAGTTTGGAGCCACACAAATTTTGCCTAATTTGGTCTGAGACAATATTAGTGGAACGGACCGAAAAGGTAAAATGAGACAATCTTAGTGGGATGGAGGTAGTAAAATTAATCTTACATATACGAGTGAGGCTGTAATGCACAATCAAAATTTTTAAATAATGGAACTTTAGTTAACGTGAACGGGAGTCTAATCGTACTACACCAATAATGCATGTGACTATCTAATAAATTAAAACAATGTAAACTCCACATACGCTCAATTCAATTCAACACTTCTTATTATTATCACTCATCATATAATCAACCCTATTAATAATTAATACTCCACAACTAAAACCACAAATAGCATATAAACAACAATATAATCATAAATTCATAATCCAAAAGATGGTGATTCCTCACCCGTCTTCCATGGTGGTGGTTAAATAGTTCATATCATATCATATCATATAAATAGTTCAAAATGTTTATTGATATTTCTCACTGAATCCATGTCAAATTAACACAACCGGGGCATGCCCCGGGCATTACACTAGTATATTTGGAATTTCATCTCATGCATGTGAGGTCGGACAAGTGTCTTATAGAGCATCAAGAATGTATTGATAGGAATGCACAATTATTTGTTTCTTGGGGATGGGGGTGTAATAGCTGTTGAGTCAGCTGTTTGAGTAACCATGTACATATTATACTATGATGATCAATGTTCGAAATTGCTACGAGCCGATTATGGGGTATTGCATAAGCCTCATGACGCATTGCGCCGTAAAGATGAGGCGTAAATCTTAATTTTTTTTGTGTATATATTTTTTTTGAAATAATGAGAAGTAAATATTAATCCCAAACAACAAATTTCATAAACAAATCAACAATAATGTCATTAAGTAATGGAATTTGTGAGTTTAAACACGACATCAAACAAATAATGATTATCAACATATATTTTAATGTTTCTAATCTAATTATACATATATATATACACACACACAATTATATAGATGAGTATATATATCAGCAAATTTTAAATTTTAATTAAAATTTAAAATTACCCATTTAAAATTACTTGCAATTTAAAGAAACTTACAACACATCAGCATATAAACTTACGACATATGAGAAGTTTACCAACGAAAGCATGACATGTAATGGAAAACATAAATTAAACATTTGGAAGCACTGATTCTAATTACGCTAAGTAAGCTCCATTTACTCATATCTTTGAATAAGCTCCATTTGGAAGTATGCTATGTAATGGAAAATGTTATATTACAGAAAACATGTTGAGTATTTGATTTGATCATATCTTTCTGTATGTTCTTTCGTTCCAAGCGTTTTGTAGCTCATTGGAAAGATTCTATCGAGTTCTTAGACCCTTATTCAGACTTTACATAATGTTATAGGATAGGCATGTGTCAAGTCTTTATAAACCTACGAGTGAGACCTTGGATAACTTGTGGGATTTGATGGCGAGATGATTGACATGTGTGGCGGAGAGGCGTCCAAGGCACAAAGATAAATATCGAGGGGAGAAGCTAGAGATAGAGCAGGAGCCATGAGGCGGGAGGGAGCGAATTTTTTCAATTGTTGTAATAGTTATTGGCTTATTTATTTTATTTAATTGACACTCTTTTATTGCGTACAATTTCACCGCCTTAGAACGTACACCTTTCCCCAAAGGCGCATGCCCTTTAGTGGAGTCAATTAGGATCCGCCTTTCATCACATTATGGGCCGTTTCGGGTCCCCTTTTTTAATTTTTATTTTTTTGGCATTGGGTTGACTGTTAGATGTGTGGGGCTGGGCGATTTGAGGGGTTTGAGGGTGGGGGGTTGGAATTAATTTGAAATTACTCAAACAAAATTACTTGGAGCTCGAACTGATCCGGCCCGGGCCCGATACTAACCCGGGTCGGTACCGAGCCTGAATATTTGGACCCGAAGCCCGTCCAAGCCCGACTCGGAACCCGACCCGGTCCTGATCCATCCCTAGTCTAATCACGAGTCCATAATCACATGTTCCCGCTTTCACTAAGGAATATAAAGTGGTTATAACAATCCTGTTGGGTGCTATTGTTCTACATTTGACTTGCTGACATACAAGGCATCAACTCATCAACTCATGTATTTAACCATCTTTGTTTTCATACTAGATCACTGGTAGCCTTCTCTCAAATCATGTCACATATTAATGACTTCTAGGTGCATGATATAGAGCAGCGGGACCAAGGAGATGGGCCAGAAGAAAGGGGTTCGAGACCCAAGCCCTTGGTCTATCGGAGGCAGGGACAGGCCTAACTCCACTTCCGTGGGCTGGGTTATTCATGGGCTGAGATATTAATTTTAATTAGTTTCATTTATGTTAAGTTGTTTCTTTTATTATTGCTTTTTATTATATTAGGATTCCACTTTAACGCTTGTACGCAAGCTAGGCTTGGTGCGTAAGCCTTGTTGCCTAATAAAACTTAGGCTACATGCAATTATTCAGCTTGGTAGTTTCCTAGTGGAACTTGGTTGTAAAGGGATATTATATATAGGGCTGGGTCCGGAAAACCGAAAACCGAAAACCGAATCAAATTAGATCGAACCGCAGCCAAATAAAACTGAACCGCTAAGAAATCGAAATCGAATGTAAAAAACCGAACCGAACCGAAGTTGTTTGGTTCGGTTTTGGTTTTTACCCTTCAAAACCGAACCGAACAAACCGAACTATTTAAAATATGAAATTTATATGTTAATTGTTAAACATTAATTCTAATTAATCGTAATATCATCAATGGTCTTTGGTTTTCTTGTGTTAGAGAAATAATGTTTGTGTTATGTTGAATTTAATTTAGTTTATAAATTCATTTACACATTCATTGTTTGCAATAATGTAGCTATATTGAATGATGACAATATGTGTTTACTACTTATTAGTAGTAGTTAACTTTTATTTTTATATAACTTAAAGATTTTATATTGATAAAACAATAAATATTCATCTCAACTATATCACATAGAACGTATATATTCATGAACTGTTTTCGAACTACTTACAAACAAATTAAATCAATAATATATACAGTTTTATCTATCTCGCATACTTATATAATTCAAGACATAGTTATCTCTTCTCATTTTTATTTTATTTGTTGTTGTATTGTGCTTGCATTCTTTATGTAATATGTTTGATCCCTCTGAGTATTATATCAATTTTAAATCAAGTGAGAATTTTTTTGGTAAAACCCGAAAAAACCGAAACCGAACCGAAACAAACCGAACCAATCAAACCGTGGTTCCAAGTTTTGGAGTGTAAAACCGAACCGAAACCGAACTTTTTACTTTGATTCTATATTTGGTTTTAGGTTAAAACCGAACCGCAAGAACCGAACCCACCCCTAATTATATATGCCCTATGCAAGGCTTTTCAGGAGGTTATCAATAAAATTCAGATTTATTAGCTAAATTAGCTTAGGCAATGGATTTACCCTCGATTGTAATTTTTAGTGACAACAACTTGGTCCGACATCTCGGATCTCATCCCGTTGGAATGACTAGATCAAACACTAATCGTATAACAAAGGTAGAAGCTGAGCAAGCCCTGATGAACTAGAAGCTTGATGTGCCCGGGTGGAAATTAGATGCATAGGCTATCTAGCTTGCCGAGATTGCAGCTTCACTCCGTGCACTCACGAAGGCCATGGCACCACTGGAAAAAGAGCCCGCGTCCGAGATTGCAGCTTCACTCCGTGCACTCGCGAAGGCCATGGCACCACTGGAAAAAGAGCCCGCGTCAACCAGCGACGCCGCATCAGGACACACTATCGACAGTGGGTGGCGCAACACGGCGACCACCTTGTTGCCCTCGTTTGACGACTAAGACCCCATCAGATGGATGTTCAGGGCTAAACAACCATTCAAACTCAATCAAACAGCGCGAGGAAGAAAAATTGCAGCCGCTATGGTACCCATGGAAGGGGCTGCCCTGTAGTGGTTAACCTGGTTAAAGGCACGGAACCGGACATGACCTGGGAGGAATTCACACAAGCACCGGTTGCCCGATTCGAATGGCTGTCCGAGGTTAAACAGATGGGAACCATAGATGAATATAATACCCTTCTTGTTCAATTGACCAGTCAGGTTCCCAGACTGTTCGATGATTATTATTTAGGATATTACATGAATGAGCTGAAGGGACCAATGCGAGGCTCCCTACGTCTAGATAATCTCGAAACAGCTATGGAATTAGCTAGGGATATCGAGGATACTCTGTCCTGTCAAAATGAAGGGGAAGTCAATCTTATAATTCAGAACGCGTTCGAGCATTACTGTCGACCAAGAATGGGCCTATATGTATCCTCAAAAGGCAACAACATGCGGGGGTCTACTGACAGTTTTTCAAAAGCTACCGGACAAGCCACAAGACCCACTTCAGGGCAGTCCGGGCAATCCACTGCATGCTCTAGATTCTCATGACTGCCGTTTAAGCAATTAAAGGTAATGCTAGCGGAGGAAGATGATGAGCTGGACTTGAGCACAATTACTTTGAGATAACCAGCTAGGAGGAAATTGCGGAGGATCAGGACATCATGGGAGATGATAGGGGAGACTTTCCCATCTATGCTATTACTGGAATTTTTAGTCCGAGAACCACCTTTTCAAGGCTAGGTAGGAAGCCATAAAAAGTTTTGGGTTTTAGAAATTTTGTGATTATTAAGTATTTGTTCTATTTGTATATAATTACACTACCAAACCTTATAAAAAGGTAAACCCAATAATAGTATTAGATATTTAGATCCAATCATGTTAGATATTCCATATGAAATTCATAGATGTATGCAAATAGGATAGTTCTCAGATACGGTTCCATACTGCTAGAAGTAGGCGGTAGCATTTCATTAATTGTTTATCAGCCATTCAGTCAAAAACAAAAATTTTGGCATATATGGTTTTAAAAATAAATTATTTTTAAAACATAAGTAGCATTTTATTATTTGTTTATGTAAAAATGACTTTCATTGATACGTTATTTTTCATATTCATAAATATCCTTTTTTTTTGCGATATTTATTTAAGTTTATTGAATGTGCATGATGCGAATAAGATTCAGAACACTAAGAAAATGGGATTTTCTTTACTTTGTAGTGCTTCGTAGTTCACAATCGAATTCGTTGCGTTGCACCGTTGCACGTGAGGATGTGAGAGACTTAGGATGTTTTTACTTGGAATGTAATTTGTCTGGTCTGATCTGGTTTGGTCTGGTCTGGTAAGGTCTATTTTTTTTGTATTTTTATAACTATCCAAGTCTGGTTTGGTCTGGTCTGGATTAATCTGGTCTGGTCTGGGACAAATTACAGTCCAAGTAAAAACATCCTTAGAGATCTCAATTTTTGGGCTTATCAGTCAAATTTTTCACCAAACGTGTAAGAGTCTGTTTGCAATAGTTTCTGCTTTTAAAAAGTGCTTTTTTTAATGAAATGTGGAGAAGTGATTAAAGGAGTGTTTGAGTTTGTTTAAAAAAAGCGCTTTTCAGCTTTTGGCTTAAAAAAAGTTGAAAAGAGTGTTTTCAAATGACAGGTTCTGCTTAAATTAATCACATAAAAGCTAAAAGCTGGAAGCAGGTAGAAAAGTGTTTTAAACTGCTTCTCACTTTTTCTATTACACAAAAAGTACTTATTTTACCAAACACTACCAACTTTATTTTTCCAGAATCACTTTTTTCTCAAACACTACCAACTTTTACTATTAATCACTTTTCCCAAAATCACTTAAAAAAATCGCTTTTTTAAAGTTGAAGCAATTGCAAATACTTCCTAAATAAAAGTTGATAGTGTTTGAGAAAAAAGTGATTTTGAAAAGTAAAAGTGGATAGTGTTTGGTAAAATAAGTGTTTTTTGTGTAATAGAAAAAGTAGAAGCACTTTTGACGCGGAAGCCGAGAAAAATAAAAGTTGTAGTGTTTGGGAAAATAAGTGTTTTTTTAAGGCCAAAACTGAGAAATGCTTTTTTAGAGTGTGTTTGCCATTGCTTAAATTAAATGCTTTTTGGCTTTTAGATTAAAAAAAGCTAAATGAAGTGTTTGGTAATCCCAACTTCTAATTAAAAAAAGCATTTTTAATCTAAAAGCTGGAGGCTGGGGTCTGGCTGCTTCTAACTGCTTTTAGTTTTTTTTTTGTAAATACAGCAAACTCCAATGGCATCAAAAACCCAAGATATCCTTAGCTTCTTCCGCACCAAATCATTGTTGTCCCTCTCCCTTCTATAATTGCAAGGACCATCTTCCGATGGAGAAGCTGCGAGCAACAGGACTGTCGGAGATGGACAAGCCGGAGAAGCTACCCCACGACGGCGAGCCTCAAAACCAGAGACGACGCTCCACCTCAAGGCCTGAGTACCCGTTGATGGCTTTCCTGCCTGTCTTGAAGCTTGGAAATCGGAATTGCAGGTCTTGAAGCTTGGGGTTTGATTGCCAACACTCATGTATTCTTCGTGGCGGCGTTTTTTATGGAAATCGGAATTTTGATTGCTCTGGGTCTTGAAGCTTGGAAATTGGAATTGCAGGTTTTGAAGCTTGGGGTTTGATTGCAGGTCTGGAAATTCACCACTGACATGTTTCTCTATTTAGGGTTTGGGATTCTTCAGGTCTTGAAGGTTTGGGTGACGGCCGACGACGCACTTTACGGATTACGATGGGCGTTTGTAGTCTTACAAGGCCAAGGGTGTATTTGTAAATTATTAAAATATTATATCTCAAATCACTTTTTTATCAAACACTCCAACTTTTACAATTTAATAAAATTCACTTCTATTTCCAAACACTATCTACCTTTACTTTAAATCACTTTTCCAAAAATCTCTTTAAAAAATTACTTTAAAAAAGCACAAGCAATCGCAAACACTCCTTTAAGGAGTATTTGAGTTTGCTTAAAAAAAGCGTTTTTTCAGCTTTTGGCTTAAAAAAGTTGAAAAGAGTGTTTTCAAATGACAGCTTCTGCTTAAATTAATCACTTAAAAGCTAAAAGCTGGAAGCAGGTAGAAGGGTGCTTTAAACTGCTTCTCACTTTTTCTATTACACAAAAAGTACTTATTTTACCAAACACTACCAACTCTTACTTTTCCAGAATCACTTTTTTCTCAAACACTACCAACTTTTACTATTAATCATTTTTCCCAAAATCACTTTAAAAAATCATTTTTTTAATGTTGAAGCAATTGCAAACACTCCCTTAAAAGGAGTTGCAAACCAACCCTAAGTGGCGTAACTTTTGAGTTCACGAGCTAGATTGTGTAATAATAAGAAAAAGTAAGGTTGAAATGACTTTTCTGGCTGTATTGACTAAAGTTACCGTATATGACTATTTTAGTTATTTTTCATGTTATTTTTTTTGTTTATTTTGTTAATAAATATATTTTAAATTTTTTCCCCCATAAATCAGAAGAATCATCAATCCAGACACTTCAATCAGAACTTCATAAATTCCAGTAGAATCGGCCGATTCAGCCGATTTTAGTGTTACCAAACAGGCTCTTAACAATCAATATATATAAAAGAGGAAATTTTTAAGAGCATACAAAGCGCCACATAATCCTGTCATGTCATTATATATAACAATTATTTAGTTATTTTTATACATTTTGTTTTTATTAGATTCTATTTTTGATTGCATATTGATATAAAAACAAAAATCCTTAAAAATTCACCTTAATTAATTTGGTAAGCTTCAAATAAGTAAAATAATTTTTGGTTATCAAAGTAAAATTCTAATAACGTTTATTGATATGGAAACTAATTTACATAAGTTTACTAAACGGACTTAAATAGAAACAAATATGCAAATTAGTTTACTTATTAATTTGACACCTATTAATAAATTAGTAAGCTTCAAATAAGTAAATATTTAAAAATGAAATTAAAAATTATAAGCAACATAAAGTATATATATTTTCACAAGTAAATACGTTTAGCCTAGCTAAACAAGTAAATATTTTTGGTTGTTTCTTTAGTTTACACCTAAAATTCAAATATGCCTTCACTTTTGAAATAGATTCCTAATCCAAATTAGAAAATCTTTATATGTTTACAAATTCCTACTTTTATTTTAATAGAATGTTTTTAATTGGATTGATTTCAGTTCCAGATTAAATCAGGTCAGATCAAACTTTAATAATTATAACAATAAGTCACATAAAAAATGGACATATAATAGACCATATTAGTTCATACCAAATCAAACCCGAAATTTTAATTCAATTAAAAACGTTCTTATTACTGAGTAAATTGTAAGATCTAACAATTAAGAAATATAAAAAAAATTAATATTGAGTTCATAACAATTATGTTTACTTGGGATGCTTATATGTAGAAGACCAATTTAATTTTTTTTCATATAATTTTTTCTTTGTTTCACAAGTGGAATATATTTCACAATTATTTTTCATGATTCAGGAGATTCCACCTATTTAACCAGAATTCAATCAATTTCAGTAAAATAAGTTAATTCTATTTATTTTAGTATTATCAAATAGACTCTATATTAGACTAAGTTTATTTTTCTTTTAAATCACATTATATGTGATCCGATAGAAATTAAATTTCAAATTACCTAAATGGCTAAATTAGATACTGCCCGTGCATCGTACAAAGCTAGTAACATAATATAGATAGAGAACAAGCGTTTTCAAACGAACGGAGTTCAAAGAGTGATTTAGATGAATTGAATTGAAAAGAGAGAAAAATAAATACTCCGTATAAATTTGTGCATGGGTTTGTGACAGATTTCATTTATGGACTTGTGGTCACGCGTCATACAAAAAGCTGGATGAAAAGCTTTATCTTTAGCAATAAATAAAAGCTAGTGTATATAAAGTTGGATCCAATGTATGAAAGAATCAAGTTAAGAGACTTCGTAAACCATGACAAAGGAGATGCTGCAGCTAATAATATTGATAATTAAGAAATGAGGGCAATTCATGCCCAACCGGCCTGACGGGAACCGTTGTCCGGTCGAGGGTATTTCCGGCACTTCCTGATAAAATTTTTTGATGAGTTTTTTTGAGCATGTTCTTCATCAAATCTGGTTTATCCATACCAAATTTTAGCTAAAAATTCAACCGAGAAGACAATCAAACATGTAATTGAAAAAAAGTACGCTGTTTATATATATAAAAGCGCAGTAATCTTTACAAAATTATTTTACTGCCTTCTCAATTGAATGTTTAGATGAAATTTGATACGGATAAACTAAATTTGATGAAGAACATGATCAAAAAAAATTATCAAAAAATTCCATTAGGAAGTGCACGAAATGCACTCGGCGGGACGGAGGTTTCCGTCGCACCGGCTGGGCAGGAAGTCAGGAACGCCACTCATTAAGAAATTGCCTATATATAGTAAGGATGTTTTCTTTTGGACTGTTTTCAGTCCCAGACCAGACCAGACCAGACTTAAACAGACCAGACCAGACCAGACCAGACTTAAACAGACCAGACCAGACCAGACCAGACCTAAACAGACCAGACCAGACCAGACCAGACTTCCGTAGTTATAAAATACACAGAGACCAGACGTTTACCAGACCAGACCAGACCAGTTCAGACCAGACCAGACCAGACCAGACTTAAACAGACCAGACCAGACCAGACCAGACTTAAACAGACCAGACCAGACCAGACCAGCAAATTTCAGTCCAAAAGAAAACATCCTAAATGTGAATGGAATTTCGAAATAAGGAGTGTTATGTTTTTATTTTATTTTACTCACTAAATAAGAGTAATTGATGTCAAATTTGCAAAATATTTTTAAAACATTTATATGAGTGTAGTCTAGAAATATAAAACATGACAATAAATTTTCTAGATGTACTCACATTCACTACTAGAAAATGGGAGATTAGAGAGGACTTTGAGAGGAAAGATTGTTGGTATCTAATTTAGATAGGAAATTTGAAAGGAATTTGCTACAATAAAAGATGAAACAAATTAGTAAGGAATTTGACTCATCTACTAATATCTAAAAGGAAAAGATTTTTGCTAAGAAACTCCCGCTCAAAAACATCCCATCAGATGAGTCAACATGTTTATATTGGAAAAGAAATGTTAAAATGGGTATACTTAAATGAGTCTGCAAATAATAATGTTTTGGGTTAGGATTCACAGGTCAATATTCCAAATTTGCAAGAAGAAGCACCCTTTTTAAATTCCTATTGGATGTCAAAACGGTGGTACAGTGTTGTAAATATGGGCTGAATAGTATCTCAGTAAAGTGTACAGTGCAAGATAGGAAAATTAAAGGGTTACGGGAAATGGGGTAATTGGGTTTACAGCGTTTCAACAGTAAAAATTACATATTCAGTGTGCACATTCATCTGAATCTACTCAAACGTATAGTGTTTCCCATGTGGCATAGCAGTTGTGATTCAGACCAGGCCATGTCGCAAGTTGCCCACTTGCGTGAAACCTGCACTCCCATTTTCTTTACTTGACCAACTTGATCAATCACTTTCACTGATTGATTTTTTTGCTATAAATAGGAGCTTCAATCGGGATAGTTCACCCACAATTGGTTGCTATCATCAAGAA